GCTGAATTACACTAATGAGGGGAGCAGCGGGTGGGTCAGGAGAGGTCTGCCTCGCCATGTGGATCTCCTCCGGGGCAGGCAGGGATTGAACTCTTGCAGAAGTGGCTTAAGCTTCTTTGTGCTTTAACCCTTTGCGCCACCAAGGAGGGCCAGAAGTAGAATTTTTAACAGTAATATATAGGAAGTAGTTAATGGTTAAGTGGAGGGTGTAATTATATAAGACACAAAGACACTGAATCAAATTACATCTCAGTCACACCATGCCAAGTTTGAGACTCCTTTTCACAGTACCACTTTGGATGCAAGTTTGCAACAGCAAGAGAAACATGTAACTATTACAATGGCAACCAGCATTTTATAAAGCATACTGCAGGGAAACAAAAAACGTGAAAATTTTCATTATTAAGGAGTCAAATTAGCATTTGTGGGCATGAAGAGAAAAAAGCACAGAAATCCCTGCATAAGGACTAGCCAAGGTTAAGTAGGACTAAAAAATGGACCAGAACAGAGGCTAAGTAAGCAAAGCCTGGGCCCTGCGATCAGAAAGAAATGGGAACTAGCACAAAACACTTCTTCCTCTACTTTTTAATTACACTACACTCTATACTGAGGATTACCATTGTACTCACTAGACTATATTGCCTTATTTTACATGTCTGTTTTAAATTAATGGAAAACCTCAAATCTGCCAGAATGAACTGGAGTTATTATTACTAGCTCCAGGAAAGCAGATTTGGTAAATGTGACTTTTTTATACGAACCTACACTTCTACTTTTATGATGACAAAGGCAAGGACACTGAAACTACAATCATTTTCTATAAAGGAATAGACACAAAAGTTAAGCTCACTGCTTATTTGTAACATGTGCCACCAAGCAGTTTTAACTGACATTTATTAGCCCTCTTTAATAAATCTAGGCTTCAAGTAATTATTTGTAAATCTGAGGTAAGGTATTACATTTTTCATGTCATATCACATTATCTGTTATTTTTTTCAAAGATTTATATGTGCACACAAGAACTGGGGTACAGGCCAGAAGTGTGTGTGTGTATGTATGGGTGGGTGGGTGACGGCACTCACGAGAGACAAAGTGGGGAACAGTGGGCAGGTCAGGTCTGCCATGTCTTGTGCGTCACCTCCCTGGCGGGGACCAAACTCATGCTGCAGGGTCTTTGGACAGCTTCATAGTGCTGTGCTTTCACCCACTGTACCACCAAGGAGGGACCATATCTGTTATTCTTAAAATACCATGGACATCAAAGAAACAAAAATGGGAGGCATATAACTACAGATACATGCACTGTGTAAACTTCCATTTCAGTTAGAATGGATTCATACATTACGGGGTAATGTAGACAAAGATGATCTGTGTGGCTGTTACAAATTTAGATCACTGGCCAGTTGACAAGAGTCTGATTCTTTGTTTTGGGAAGAAGCTAGTAATTGCACCCTATGCAAGTCTAATGCAAACCACCCTGTAACATTTGATCTGAGAGATTAGACACTATCAAAAGAAAATGTGGAGTTTAATAAGCAATTATTGATATACTTTAAAGTAATGCTCAAGTTTTGTATTATGCTCAGTGCTTTTATATACAGGTTCTTTCTCAATCTTCAAATGGACCTTAGAGGGTTGGTACTAACATAACCTTGGAAACCGAGGCGTAAGAGGTTAGTCACTCAGTCACACAGGCATGAAGCGTGAGGTGGACTTCCCCATATTCTCACCTGTTACAAAAGTGTGTCTTTTGGTCTGAGAGAGACGTAACAGCTCTAATGTGCCAGCACCTGCAATATTCCCCAGACCCTAAAACTCAATCTTCAGTACATACTGTAATAGTATACAGATTTTTATAAATTCTCTATTTAATGACTATTTCTTGGCTTCTCTTAATTTTTTATTCTTCTAATCTATTCTAATAGATTAATATCTTTACATTTCTATACCAGTCACTTTATTATGATCATTCCTTTATAATTTCTTCAAGTTAGACTTCAACAGATCTTCTCTAACGCAAATAACCACCTCTGGCATCATAGTTTTACATATTGTAATCTCTTGTAAGATCACTAAAATGCATGCCTGTACATAAAATAAAAATCAATTTAATATTTGAAAGAAAAATTATTTCTGCTAAAGGCAATTAATGGGCATCATGTAGTTATCCTTCTAAGTAGGAAAAATGAATAATCTGACTCACCTGTAACATACCAACAATTTCTACCTTGTTGAAAAAGATAAAGGAGTGAAGTGTTGACAACATATTTTCCTCGAAGACTGATGGGGTAGGTAAAACCATATCTTGTATGTATTGAACTCTGTATGTTTGATGAATTTTTTGTTTCAGCTCAGGATCTGATATAGGAATCACTTCTTTAAACTTGGCTGTTTTTGTTAGAAATTCCCTGTGTTTTCGTGGTTGTGATAAAGCAGGGTCATATTCTAAGCATCCAATAACGTCCATTATACATTCCTCAGAGAACATAACTTCAAAAAGAGCAGTTCGATTCAAGAGGAAGATGCCTTTGATTATTTCATACAAGTGGTGCAGTCCTTCAATATTTTCCAAATCCTCACACACATGAAAAAGCTCTAAGAGCTTTTTAATATAACCCTCATTTTCCAGTGCTAGTGCAAGTTTTTCACGACGAAGTGGGGAAGGTAAAGATGATGCCACAAGTTCTGCTATTTCCTCAAGGCGACTTAATTCACAAGATGGCAATTCTAAACCTGGCGATGACATATCATCAAAACGTTCTTCTTCAGACTCATCGACGAGGTCCTGGGTGATGTCCACCGAAGGGTCCTTTCCTTGAACCTATTAAATAAGATTTATGACAATTGACAAAATAGAATCAAGCAAATCTAAACAATATTTTTAGATGAATGAGACGCTATTAAAAACTATAAATGACAATATTCAAGCTTAAGACTTCAAACTTGACATAATTGCTTTATCTCTCTAAGCTACCTTCCCACAAATAACAACTTGAAATACTTTCATTTTATTTTAGAGGAGGAGGTTCCAAGCTCAGAGAGGGAGTGAACTTCCTCTAAGTTTGAGGTTTACCAGAACAGAAACTTTCTAGACACACTAAACTGACTGATGACAAGCATGTCATGCAGACCCACAATGTAGAAGCCTGTTGCTAAAACATCCTCTTCACATCTTACAATGTAGCCCTGTTTTCCAACAAGCCGGGGCAAGTCTGTGAAACAGTCCAACTATTGTGCTCAAGAAGAGCCTCCACCAAATTCTTCAAAGTTTAAGTAAAATCCAAACAATATCATATGGCTGTGATCACAGAAAATACATATAACCACTAAACAGCAAGGAAAATAATTAATGTCAATTAATTCTAGAAACCAAGGACTAAGGAGCATTACAAACCGCCACTGGAAAAGTAGATCACTGATTTGCTATAAATGCTAGAGTGCTCAAAAACATGATTAAGAAAAATGGGATGAAAAAAAAGTGCACTGCCAAAAAATGCAACCACATAAAAATTGCAACTAGTTTTTTTTAAAGATTTTTAAAAATTTATATATGCATAGAAGAACTGGGGTGTGTACAGGCCAGTGGTGTGGAGACTGAGAGAAGAAAGAATTCACTGGAGACAGCGGGGAGCAGAACAGGCAGATCCTCTGAAATACAGTGAGGGGAGCAGTGGGCGAGACAGGAGAGGTCTGCTGTGCCATGTGGCTTGGGACAGCTCCCTGGCTGGGGATGGAGGGGGTGGAAGTGGCTGGCAATAGCTTGATGGCACTGAGACACCTGTGCACCAACAGGGAGACCCCAGTAACTGCAGTTTATATTTAGCAGTGCAATCCACAAGAATATCTGCTATAAGTTATGTCACCAAACCACAGAGGTTTTCCTTTTTATACAACCAAATGCGTCATTTTCCTTACCCCCAGAAGCCTTAGAGTTTGTCATAAAAGGGTTCCAATGATAAACTTGAAAGTTTTCACAATTAAATATATTTTAAAGTAAAGGGATATCTTGATAAAAATTCAAGGACATAGTTTGGAATGAAACAAGTTTTGTTATCTTGGCTATATAACTTAAAATAGTGACCACAAATGCTGCCCAACAAGCTGAGAAATTTAAATTGCTTAGTATGGTTAGCTCACGGACATTAGAAAGGGGAAAAGATCTGGAATGTTGAGACATGCTGCAAGGCGATATGATCTTGACCTTAACCCAGTGGGCAGCACCACTGAAAGGCACTAGGCACATTCACAGCTTGTACCTGGCATGGTCTTAAGTTGGCCCCAGTTTATTAATCACGTAAGTTCTCAAAGCTTTAGATTCCTAATACTCAACCTCTGGCTTCCCTTACAGAAAAAATAGCAGCTTTTCATCAAAGAAACAAAAGAAAAGAGCCCTTAATGTAAAAGTGAAAATGCTATCTTCTTGGGCTAATCTGCAAGACTAAGAAGATAATCAAAAAGACTGCTATTTAATAGAAGTCCTAGAATTTCATCTGCTGGGAATCAAGGTGGAATTGTAATGATTTGAGAAAAACCTGGTCTTACTTTCAGTACAGAAAAAATGTTAAGAATGGAAACAAAAGGAAGGCAGACTAATAAAGCTATGAGAGAACTTTCCTTAAGAGAAAGGATATTTCTTAAGTCCATCTGGACAAATATGAGAATGAAAATGTGAAGACAAAAATATAAAAAGACATAAAACCACTACCAAGGATATATTAGCAAATTGAGAATTTTTTTTTAGCTATTTCTAGATAAATAAATGATGAATAGGACTCAAGGCACAGGAAAAAATGTAAGATTACAAATAGCAAAATGTAAATAAATCCCTTGGAATAAGTCAGGATCCAGAAATTGAGAGTACAGACAGAATCATAAAGGAATGATTGAGAAACATTATGAACATACACTACATAAAAGCTGAAAAGGAAGACCATAAAGCAACAATATAAAATAGCTAGTGATTTCTAAACAAGTTATTATTTATTCATACAGAAATAGGGTACAAGCCAGAGATGCAGGGGCGGTGAGAGGCCTCACCAGAGACAGAGTGGGGAGCAGAACAGGCAAATTGATTAAGTACACTGCTGAGGGGAGCAGCAGATGGGTCGGGAGAGGTCTGCCACACCATGTGGGTCACCTCTGGGGCGGGGGATAGAACTCACACTGAAGCAGCTGCAGCCAGCTCGCAGTGCTGCATCCTAACACACTGCACCACCAGGGAGGGCCCATAAGAGTGCTTTTTAAAAAATTAATAATAGTTTACTTTTACATAATTTTATGCCTTTTTCCATCTTAGTTGTAATCCCCATGGGCTTCCCAACACCAATTCACCAGTGTGCCATCACCACAGTCCAGTGCACTTCCCCCACCACCACCATTTTTGATCCCATTCTCCACTCCACCCCTGTAAAATGTCTCTGTATATAGTTGTTTATTTATCTTTATCATCATCATTATTCCCCCCTTGGTCCTTATGCTCTTGCTATGAGTGAAACCAACTGGTACTTTTTGTTTTCTTTCTGGCTTATTTCACTAAGGGTGCTTTATAACATACCCTGATCTCATTATTCTCAACTCCAGTCACAAGTGGGGTAAAAAAACAAAACCTAGTGGAAAGGACTATAAAAACAAATGTGTGGGGCAGAAAACAAAAAGTATAGAGCAAGAAGGCATTCAGACACAAATTTCAGTCCTCTACATGTTAATGGTACAGCTTGACAGGGAGGTGAATTTATGAAAAATACAGCTAAATAGAATATATAGCATAAAAATTCTACAAGTTAAGGAAAAACTATGCCTATAGGACACTTAAAATTTCTATTCAGGCAGTGTCCCTCAAGCTTCAGGGTGCATCTGAAGTGCTTAAAAACAAGAATTGATAAACTACAGGTAAACCTGGTCTACACCTGCTTCCTTTGCTTATGCACAAAAAATTTACAGAAAGAGAACCATTCCAACATTTTTATGTGCTATCTATAGCTACGTTGACACTACACCAACAGAGGTAAATAGTGTTCTAATGCCTAACTCACAAGGCCTAAAATATTTACCAGTTAAAGATCTTATAGAGAGGACTTATTAAAATACAATTCGTAGAACCTGCTCATCAGAGTTTGATTCAGCAGATCTGGGACTGGGATCTAACCCTGCATTTGTATCCGTTTCCTAGTCATGTCCCTGGCCTGTGAGCTATACTCTGAGAATCGATGAATTAAACAATCTGTAGAAGATTAGTCTCCAAATAAAATAAATGCAGAGAAAAGAGAAATCCTTAAGAAGGGCTGCTTAAAATGAGCTTGTAACAACAGCCAATGGTCGTAACCACTTAAAAAAAAGTGCACATAAAAAAAAATTCACATTCATAAAACATTGTGGAGATTATGTCACTAGAATGAGCTACTTGTCACCAGGGAATTCCAGATTTAATAAAGAATAGCCAAATAAGGTTGAAGAGAAGGTTAAGAGTCACAGAAAGTTACTGACCTAAGAATAGTATGTCAGACTTGGATTTTAAAAGTTGTCTCTATGTGCATTGAGGATTTGGGAAGACCAATTAAGATGAAAGCAATAAACCAGGTAAGAAATGAAGGGGGCCTGATAAGCTGTAAAAGTTATAAAAATGCAAGTCAATGAATAAATCTAGGATTTATTACTGAAGGGCTGATTGGATATAAGGGATGAAGGAAAAATAGCCAAGACCCTTCAATGTCTGGCTTATGCACTGAGACAGCATTTACTAAGATGAGGAAATGAAAAAAAATGAACAAGCCTACATGAGACTTTCAGGTTCTAGACTATTAGATTCCAGGTGAGTATTCATTGAGCAACTGTCAAAAACAAAACAAAATGCATCTGGACATAATATTCTGGAGTTCACCAAAGATCTAGATAGATGAGTATAAAATTACACTTTCCTATACATCAGGTTTTTCAGAAAGCATTGAACTTAAGCAATCCATAGTAAGTTGCTCGTCCACTTATTTAAAATCTTCGGCATTAGTTAAAAGCACAGCAAAAACCAAACTATTTAAAAGAAAGCACAATGAGCTTCCAATTCTTAAAATTACCTGACATATTTTCTCCCAAATTTCATCACATCCAGCTTTTTCTTGAAAACTAAGAGCCAAGTCATAATTTTCTGCTTCAGACCACACAATCAAAGTGTCCTTGAGAGAAAAAAAAAGTCTGAATGATTAGCATACATTATTGCAAAATACTTCAAGTATGAGAAAAATGAAGCAACAGGAATTGAGAACAGCACTCACTTTTACATTTGACAACATTGACAGTTGGTAATTACTAAAACCTTTCTGTAGTTCTTCCACCTATAAAATGAAAGCAATGCTTTCTTCTACAAGTTTAACCAAACATGAAAAACAATATACAATGAGGGCATAAGCTGAATGTAGTGAAAAACACCAAACCAAACACTTTATAATTCCAATGCCTGCATATTAAATTACACTATACACTCTGGTCAGAAAGACAAAATCTAAGCATTGAATAGGAGATGTCAAGTTGGGATGAATATATATAGTTCTCCTTCCTTTCCTCTCTACAGTAAACATAAGATATTTTTTTACCTGGTGCCCGTAAGTGATGAAGGCCTTAAAGTCAATGACTAAAAATCTTATATGAGCATTTATTTGGAAGAGCTGTTTCGTAAACCTTCACCAAAGTGCTGTGGTTCACTAAGCAAGATGTTACTACCACCCATCATGCCTCTACTTCTATACACAAATACTTCTTTGAAAAGTTAGATAAAAAATTTAATAACAGTTAAACAGTTAACAGCTGTTATTAAATGTAATATAAGCAAGACACTAACAACATTGAAACTACTTTATATTCCCTATAATACAAATATAGGCTGCATTTTACTGTAAGTATGTTGTAACAAAAAATATGTACAGGGTATAAGGTATTTTTGCAAACTTAAGGACTATAAACAAACATATCCATTGTTACAAAGCAATGAAATGGTCCTCTTAAGAACCAGAAACAGAAATTCACTCAAACTGATCAAGAAGTAATGAGCCAAGTAAAGATTGGCTGAACATCTATTGGGATACTGTTTCTTCCCATACTGAGGAAGAAACATAACTGGGCTGTCTTTAGGGTACTGTAAAGAATCTAAGTTTCTCTTATAGAAGCTTCCAATACTTTTCACTACCATGTCCACTAAACTGCATTAACTGTCTATAGTCATTTATATAGCTATCAAGCACAAGGTTAGTAGTCTCTCAAGAGAACTAAAATGATACCACTGAGAAGTAAACTATCTTTTGATTAGTTTATTTAACAATTCAAGTCCACAATTCTTACTCAGAATTTTAAAAATGAGTTAAAAGGCCCCTTTTACTATCTTGAAGGACTGTAGAGCTCATAGATCCCAGCGAGGTAATTATCTGCTCCACAGTGACTGAGTAGCTAGCTGTTCAAGGTCAAAATAATTTACATTAACACTGTTTAAGATTAACATGCCAGAAATCCATCAGTTGGGTAACATTGCTGGGTCTCAATGATCTTCAAAATGGACATAATATAATCTTCTATGAAAATTGGTAATGATAATTATTTATAAACCAGTATCATATTAATTAATAAGTCAGACCTAATGCAACTGTTAGTAGTTGCTCTGCTATAATGATATATATGCAGAGTCATTTGGAGCCTCTTAAGTCAGAGCACACCTAGACATATATGGACCCTGAAAAAAATATATTTATTTATTTTTGAATAAATGAACTGGGTGGGGGTGTAGCCAGAGGTGCAAAGGTGGGTGAGACAGAGTGGAAAGCAGAGCAGGCATTATTTACTGAAATACACTGCTAAAGGGAGCAGCGGGCCAGACCGAAGAGGTCTGTTGTATTGTATATGGGTAGCTACATACTCAGGCCATTGGTGGTCCATTGCAGTGGCAGCAATGAGACTTAACTTAGGCCACCTGGGAGGCTCTTAATTGCCCATTTGACAGATTTACAGGTTTGAGAAACTTCATATCAGAATGGTATAAGAAAGTGTATTCACATAGAAAGCAGCCTTAAAAATTTTAACACTATGATTTTTTTTTTGCAGGCTGTGTATAAAATCAAATTTTTATCCACACTAAGCTATATATAAGGCTACAAAAAAAAAAATTACACCTCCCCAACCCTGCACTAGGACTACACAACAAATAAAGAAGTTTCTATAAATCAGTTGTGTGTTAAGATGATTGACATCAATGATTGGGTTGTTCTTCCCTTTATGTAGAAATAGGGAACATAAACTTAAATTGAAGCAAGTTTCTTTTTTAAATTAAAAATGATTGGTTTATGCACCATAAAAACTGGAAGAATCCTATTTTGGAATCATAATTTGTAATGTTATGAATTTTACACTGCTAACAACCAGATGATAAAATTCCATTTTATCACTAAACTAGGAAAATGACATGCAAGGTAAAACACAACATCTTCAAAATTTTACCTGTTGTTTCTGGTACGCGGTATTTGGATTTATTTTGGACTCTAAAAGTAGAGAACCTAGGAAACAGAAAAGTAAAAGACATTCCATTATTCTGCCACAAACAAAATTATATTTCCTTATACATCGCCTACTTCCTTTTCTGAATACATGATACACATAAAAACTTCAATTAAGAAAAATTTCTAAAAAATAATACAAGTTTAAGTATAATAACTTGTAACTTTAAAAGCCTACCTTATACCACTAACTTTTTTTTTTAAGATTTATTTATTTATTCATACAGAACTGGGGTACAAGCTAGAGATGTGGAGGGTGAGAGAATTCACCAGAGACAGAGTGGGGTGCAGAACAGGCAGATCGACGAAGTACACTGCTGAGGGGAGCAGTGGGTGGGCCAGGAGAGGTCTGCCTCACCATGTGGTCACTTCCGGGGCAGGCGGGAATCGAACTCATGCAGAAGTGGCTTTAGCTTCTTAGTGCTGTGCTTTAACCCGCTGTGCCACCGGGGAGGGCCTATACCACTAACTTTTAACAAGAAAGACATTAACCATCTGAAGAATGAGAACTGGATGGCACCAAAAACCTAATTCTTCTTCAGCAGCACAGAGCAGTAAAACAGCAGTGTCAAGTCAATGATCTGAGTTTAAATCTGTGATAAGCTGTATGACTTGGAGAATTTTTATATGTATTACTAAAATATCTGATTTATTTGACAAAACTGAAATATAACAAGGAAAAGCGGCAAGTAAATTAAAAATCTATAGCCCCTTAGAGTACTAAGTTTCCAACTATAATTGTAAATATTATCTATATTGTTTAAAGGAGTAAAACTTACATCCAGTTATCAGCTCTCGTATGGCCTCAAACTTACGTTTTAAAGCTAAGTCTGCATAGCTATATTCAAAACACGGTTTCTATGACAGAATACATTAAAAAACATCTACTTTGAAATATACTGTGTTCCAAAAAATAACCCATTCTCTAGAAAACTGCATAGAGTAACAGAGTGAATGAAAATTTTGGATCATTTTATAACATATTTCAGAAGATGTAAGAAGTCTATGGCATGGAACCTAATTAAACAATGCTTCCTTATGAGTTTAACTGCACAAAGGCACAACCAACACAAAAGCAGGAGTGGGTGAGGAGTCACCAGAGACTGAGTGGGGAGCAGAACAGGCAGACTGACTATGCTGAGGGGAGCAGCAAGCAAGACAGAAGAGGTAAGAGGTCTGCTGTGCCGTGTGGGTCACCTCCCTGGCTGGCATCATTGCTTCACAGTGCTGAGACAATCTCTTGCGCCACCAGGGAGGCCAGACTTCAAGTCTTTAAAAAGAAATGGTAAACACATGGCACAGAATGCTGGAATTCTTGAAAGGTGTGCTTTCAAGAAACACACGCCTTACCTGAGAGCTGCTGAAACTACACCAAACCCCACTAGTAGTACAACTATTATTTTTCTAGTACCAGTTCCTTTTGCAGATGTTTCAAAAACTCCCAGTAGTTGGATAATTAGAAAACACACAAACCAAGAGTTGTTATGTTCCTTCTCAAAGCCCTGGCTAAAACAAAAATAACCACATACTAGAAACTTCCCATGTGTTGATAAATCTCCCCACCACTCTCCTAGTCCCACTCCTGTAGCTACTCAGATGATAGTGGGGAAATTGTCGTCTTCTGAAACTCATTCTAAGCCACATCCCATAATTTCAAGCTACAACTCCATCTTAGGAAGTCCAGCTCTGGTTCCCCAATACCATATTTCATAACCTTCAAGGAAGGTTCTACAGACTGAAATATGAGAAAACAGGCTTTTATAGTTTGGGGCATAAGTAAAATAAGAATTAAGTAATAAGTAAAATAAGAAATAAGAATTTCTAGCTTTATTCTAGTCTATCTATTAGGCTGCCTGTCCCCATCTCTTGTGGTTTCTACTGGATCAAGTTATGAGCACTTCTTCAACATGGAAAAAGGTCAGGTGTTAATATGTATCAACACCACCCTTTTTTCCCCAACAAGTTTATGTATACCCGTTGCTATAACCACAATACTTGAAACAGTAATTTGATCCTAGTAATGAATGGGTATGGATGGGGAAGTAGGGTTCAATGTTAGATGACAGAAATTTGTCATGGTAGCAGAGACAACAGGGGAGAAATCAGGAAGATGATTCTTAGTTGCAGACTTTTTAAGCAACATTCAGCCTAAGGTAGTGAAGGTTCTCATTAAGGAGAACACATGCTTTTTTAATAATGGGTAGGGGCAGTATGTCTTAGTAACTGAGGAACATAGGCAAGACGGTGATGGTAGCTTGCCCAACTTAGCTGAGGAACATATTCATCCTCTCCAGTAAAAGATATGACCTTATCCCCAAAAGGAAGGCAATGATATACTCCCCATGATACTGCCTCAAACACATCTGAAAAAAAGATCAATGAGCAGTAAGCTTGCTTAGCAAACCCAACAACAAGACTTAAAAAAGGACTTCCCACTCCCAACTTTAAAGATGGGGAAGGAAATATGTAGACACAAAGAAAATAAAAAGGGACCAGGCTAAAGGGCTTCTATCAATACCTGCACTAAATTTTTCATGACAAAATCCATCATGCATGACTCTATTGAACTGCTGAGCTCATCCAAGATAAAAGGAAACTGCCAGTACATAACCAGAATCCAATGCTTGGTATTTTGGGGTATGTTCAGACTATCATTTCATTGGCATCACTACACAGTTGTAGAGTACTAAAGTTAAGACTAATAATGATCCAGAAGCACATTACAAATTAAAGGTTAACCAACAAAGAAAAGCTCCTTACACTGGCTAAGAAAAATAACCTAGTAGAACAGGCCTGGACACTGAACAGTATTTAAGGTTTACTTAAATACTTACCTTAAATTCACTGTTTTCAAGAACCTACTGATAACATTAAGTGACGACTTACTGCATTTAATTAGTAAATGTTCCACAAAAACTGTTTAGATTTTCTTCTGGTAGTTTTATTTGGCTGAGAAATTAACCTGCTTGGAAATTATTTCCTTTCTCGGAAGAAGTGAGAGTTTCTGTAACTTCACAGCTCTTGTTTCTTTATCAACCAACCAACCAGTTAGATTTTGGGAATATAAGTATATCTGGGGTTTATTAACTTAGGTTCAAGCCATACCTTAGATTTGTCTGAATATTAAAGAATTTCAGAATGATAACTCCTACTCTGCTGCTACTGAGCCAAGCAGTTTAATCTCTAGGCTTCACCAGCATACCTGTCCTTAGCAATGTGCAAAGCTAAGGCAGGGGGGCTTAGGCGCTGTATTTCATTAAGTTGACTCATCTAAAAATGAGTCAATGGAAGTTCAAAATTTCATCTGGAGGGCCCTCCCTGGTGGCCCAAAACACAGCACTGAAACTATCCACAGCTACTGCAACACGAGTTCAATCCCTGGCCAAGGAGGTGACCCACATGGCACAGCAGACCTCGCCTGTCATGACTGCTATGCCCCTTGGCAGTGTATTTCAGTCAGTCAGTCAGTCTGTTCTGCTCCCCGTTCTGTCTCTGGTGAATCCTCTCACCCTCCACATTCTGGCTTGTACCCCAGTGGTTGTATGAATAGATAAGCCTTAAAACAACTACAACAAAATCTCATCTGAGCAAGTGGCTTATGTATGTGCTAAACCTGTAGCTGGCCTGCGTTCCAAGTCCCTCTCTCCTAATTTTGTGATTTACAAATTACACAATGGCATTTTTAAAAAGTAATGAAGGTGGGACATAGGCAACAGGTAGCATTACATTAAAAGGTCCTGCACATGCATCAAGCCTTCACTGTATTCCATCTCTACAAGCTGTACCCATTGTGGCTAATGGCCCTCAAACTTCTAGAAGCCATTACATGCAACAGATGATAAACAAGAACTAGGTTACTGTAGGTCTATTTTCTACAAAGTAGGTCTACACAGGAATAAAGTGTCTATAATCTTTTCAAAGCGAAATATCTCTCACCACTGACATTGGGCTCTTCTTGGCAGTAAGCTAGACTGCTTCTATGCACTATTCTATACTATTTTATTGATTTTTAAAGAACAGCAAAAAAAAAAGCTGATGCTCTATTTCTCTCCTCACAGCACACAAATCAAAATAGACCTTTTCTAATTGTAGTAGGAGTGTGGCAGTGGAATATACCTACAACCACGTTTTATTAATAAGTAGCACAAGATCCTATTAGTGCTACTTTGAACAAAATATTTGTCTCATTTTCTTCATGTCTCATGAAGAATTAACCTTTTAAACACTGAATAAGGCAAATCAGATGATAAACCATTAAAATATAAAAAAATATAAAAGATAAAAACCAAACAGGAACACTATTCTTGATGACTGGCAAATAATCCAAAATAATAAGCATGGATATAGTCTTACGTTCAAAGACATCCTTCAGTGTATGGAGAAATTACAATTTCCTTACCAACTCTAAACTTAGCAGGTAGGGTAGATGTGCTATAAACCATAAGGGAGCAAAGCCAAATGATCTGAACATGAAGTGAGAGAGCAAGTAAACTGATAGAGCACAAATGAAAGAAAGTACAATGATTAGTAAACTTATTTTGAAGACGGGACTTTGCAGGTACATGACTTCTATAAAAAATGAGAATGAAGCGATCTGTATTTTCATGAAAGAAAAGGGTATTTCCCTGGCACACCCTGGTAGAGTCAAAGTGCAGCACTATGAAGCATTCTGCAGCCACTACAGCACCAAGTTCAATCCCCAGGCAGGGAGCTGACCCACAGGGCACAGCAGACCTCTGTCCTACAGGCAGCTCCCTTCAGCAGTTCAGGAGATCTGCCTGTTCTGCTCCCCACTCTGTCTCTGGTGAATCCTCTCAGTTCTGGCCTACACACAAACTCCTGTATGCATAAATAAAATAAATCTTAGAGGAAGGGCATACTTGCACGGATATGCCCCAACAGGGAGGGCACAAATATTTCCACTGAGAAAGTACCCTTCTGATTTTCAGGTAAGTGTTATCTTCTATGAGAAGAGAGTCAGTAGTTGAGGTAGCA